CTCAGCTGGGAGCTGACCTGCAGGGCCCTCGTGAGAGCAGGGGTCTGTTCCTCTGTCTGTCCTCCCTTGCCTCTGGTTCCCGGAGGGGTTTATTCCACCTGCTGTTGTTTGAGATGCTTTTTCTCCACCTAATATCTAGGTTGTGCCCTCTGGCTCAGGGCCGCAACTTCAGGAGCGTCTGGGGACAGCAGTGCTCAGAGCCTGGTGGGCTGAGGCTGTGGGTGCGGCGATGTCGGGGACCGGCCTGACGCAAAACGCTGTGGAAAGGCTCTTGGTAGGAAAAGGGTTTGAAATAAAATCATTATGTTCTCTGTTTAAGCAGAGCCTCGCTCTACGTGCACCACAGCTACGGTTGCAGTCTGCTGGATGTCATGTTTCTGCAGCGTGTGTACCACGTGCGATTGTACTCACGTTTAACACTTACTGGTGCTTGTTACTTAGCCGGTTGTTCGCATGGCTTGCGTTAGTGCCAAGCGAATGAGGCTGTTTGCTCTTCGTGGCTTCTTGGCCAGACCCCTCGTGACTCAGGGGAAGTCTGTTTAGATCGGGTTTGGCTCCGGCAAACGAGCGGACCCAGGCAAGGCATCGTGCTCCTGCTGCCGGTATCTACTTCAACGGGTGAAGGAGGGGAGCTGCGGAGCGCCCTGTCCTTTGAGGAGGCGCGGGGCTTTGCCGGAGAGCAGATGCCCCCGGATAAGCGGCGGTAGCCCTGGCCCTCGGCAGGGTGTGGGCTGGGGAAAGGCTGCCAGGCGTTGCGTCACGCCAAAAAACTTGGAGCGCGATCTACTGCCAAGATACACGGGCCTTGTGCTGGATATCAGCTGGTGCTCGCTATACGCGTCCTTCCTGCTGGGACGGGGCACGGCCTCCGGCGCGGGCCGAGGGCCAGGATCGGTGGAGGAGGAGGTGAGATCTCAGACGCCTTCGGAGGTGCGGACGGAGGAGGACCCCGTGGCTCCGTCCATGCTAGTTCGCTAGCCTGCCAAGGCAGGGCCCCCCGGCGGGTTTTCC